ACTGGGAATCTTCATTGATTTATGTAAAGCTTTTGATACAGTTGACCATGATTTATTGCACATAAAATTAACACACTATGGTATAAGAGGGCACTCCCTCAACTACCTAAAGTCATACCTTAGCAACAGAAGCCAGTATGTGTACACAAATGGAGCTATCTCTTCTACACAACCGATAACAGTTGGGGTCCCACAGGAAATTTCCTTGGCCCACTTTTCTTTTTCATTTACATAAATGACTAATAAAGTTGGTAGAATTACTGACAATATGTAAAGTAAAAGGACACAAGTGCAACTAATGTGACATTTTTATTGTGGCAACGTTTCTCTCTCTTGGAGCTTTGTCAAGCCGTTGCAAACAGTACATGGACACAGAGAGTGTATATAGGCTCAGAGTGAGGTTCAATACTAGTGGTAGTAGTAGTGAGATAAGTTGTAGTAGTAGTACTACGATATGTTAGAACAATTAACTCTTGTAAAAGAGTAAAAGATGAGTGGTGCATTGAGGTATCTTTGGAGACAAAAAAAAACGTTATCCATGGAGGCAAAGAAGGGAATGTACAAGAGTATAGTGGTACTAACACTTATGTGGGTATGATGCATGGGTTGTACATGCTGCAGCTAGGAGGAGGCTGGAGGCAGTGGAGATGTCCTGTCAAAGGGCAGTGTGTGGTGGAAATATTATGTAGAGAATTTGGAGTGTGGAAATTAGGAGGAGGTGTGGTATTACTAAAAGTATTAGCCAGAGATCTGAAGAGGGGCTGTGGAGGTGGTTTGGTCATTTAGAGAGAATGGAACAAAGTAGAATGACTTGGAGAATGTATAAATCTATTAGGGAAGGAAGGTGGAGTAGGGCTCGTCCCCAAAAAGGTTGGAGGGAGGGAGTAAAGGAGGTTTTGTGGGCAATGGTCTTGGGCTTCCAGCAAGCTTGCATGAGTGTGTTAGATAGGAGTGAATGGAAACCTGATGAGCTGTTGGAGTGTGAGCAGAGTAATATTTTGTGAAGGGATTCGGGGAAACCAGTTAGCCGGACTTAAGTCCTGGAAATGGGAAGTACAATGCCTGCACTTTAAAGGAAGGGTTTAAGATATTGGCAGTTTGGAGGGTTGTCTAAACTGTTGTATATGAATGCTTCTGCAAAGACAATGATTATGTATGAGTGATGGTGAAATTGTTGAATGATAAATTTTTTTTTTTTTTTGTCATTGCCTCGGTGGGAATCGATTGACGTTAAAAAAAATACATATTAAAAAAAAAATACATAATCTGCTTGTCTCTTTGTCTCAGAGAGTGGCTTATGAATCAACAGGTATTACACACGATACAGAGTCGTCACGTCTGATTCCTGATCAAGTGAAAATGCATATTACTTGCCAGTCATGCTTGTTATGTCTTATATCACAAGCACAGCATAGCACTTTGTGTGGATTTTTTTTTTTTAGCAAGTCGGTCATTTTCCACTGAAGCAGGGTGACCCAAAAAGAAAGAAAATTCCCAAAAAGAAAATACTTTCATTGTCATTCAACTCTTTCATCTCACTCACACTTAATCACTGTTTTTGCAGAGGTGCTCAGAATACAACAGTTTAGAAGCATATACGTTAGCCTTCCAAACTGCCAGTATCCCAAACCCCTCCTTTAAAGTGCAGGCATTGTACTTCCCATTTCCAGGACTCAAGTCTGGCTATATAAGAATAACCGGTTTCTCAGAATCCCTTCACTAAATACCCTGCTCACACTCCAACAGCGCGTCAGGTCAGGTTATCCTAGGTAATTTACACTATGTATGATAACTGTACTTATGTGTACCTGTGGATAGGGGAGCAATGTGGCAGATGTTGCAAGTATATGGAATAGGTGGTAAGATACTAAATGCTATAAAGAGTTTTTATGAGGATAGTGAGGCTCAGGTTAGGGTGTGTAGAAGAGAGGGAGACTGCTTCTCGGTAAAAGTAGGTCTTAGACAGGGATGTGTAATGTCACCATGGTTGTTTAATGTATTTATTGATGGGGTTGTAGAAGAAGTAAATGCTAGGGTGTTTGGGAGAGGGGTGGGATTAAATTATGGGGAATCAAATACAAAATGGGAATTGACAGTTACTTTTTGCTGATGATATTGTGCTTATGGGAAATTCTAAAGAAAAATTGCAAAGGTTAGTGGATGAGTTTGGGAATGTGTGTAAAGGTAGAAAGTTGAAAGTGAACATAGAAAAGAATAAGGTGATGTGGGTATCAAATTATTTAGATAAAGAAAAATTGGATATCAAATTGGGGAGGAGGAGTATGGAAGAAGTGAATGTTTTCAGATACTTGGGAGTTAACGTGTCGGCGGATGGATTTATGAAGGATGAGGTTAATCATAGAATTGATGAAGGAAAAAAGGTGAGTGGTGCGTTAAGGTATATGTGGAGTCAAAAAACATTATCTATGGAGGCAAAGAAGGGAATGTATGAAAGTATAATAGTACCAACACTCTTATATGGGTGTGGAGCTTGGGTTGTGAATGCAGCACCGAGGAGGCGGTTGGAGGCAGTGGAGATGTCCTGTCTAAAGGCAATGTGCGGTGTAAATATTATGCAGAAAATTCGGAGTGTGGAAATTAGGAGAAGGTGTGGAGTTAATAAAAGTATTAGTCAGAGGGTCAGAAGAGGGGTTGTTGAGGTGGTTTGGTCATTAGAGAGAATGATCAAAGTAGAATGACATGGAGAGCTTTAAATCTGTTGGAGAAGGAAGGCGGATAGGGTCGTCCTCGAAAAGGTTGGAAGGAAGGGGTAATGGAGGTTTTGTGGGCGAGGGGCTTGGACTTCCAGCAGGCGTGCATGAACATGTTCGATAGGAGTGAATGGAGACGAATGGTATTTGGGACTTGACGATCTGTTGGAGTGTGAGCAGGGTAATATTTAGTGAAGGGATTCAGGGAAACCGGTTATTTTTATATAGTCAGACTTGAGTCCTGGAAATGGGAAGTACAATGCCTGCACTCTAAAGGAGGGGTTTTGGGATATTAGCAGTTTGGAGGGATATGTTATGTATCTTTATACGTATATGCTTCTAAACTGTTGTGTTCTGAGCACCTCTGCAAAAACAGTGATTGTGTGAGTGAGGTGAAAGTGTTGAATGATGATTTAAGTATTTTCTTTTTGGGGATTTTCTTTCTTTTTGGGTCACCCTGCCTCGGTGGGAGACGGCTGACTTGTTGAAAAAAAAAATGTGTACCTGTGAGAGATAGACACAGAGGCAGAGATAGGCAGAGACAGAGACAGCCAAAGTCAGCCAGCCAGCCAGCCAGCCAGCCAGCCAGCCAGCCAGCCCAAGTCAGCCAGCCAGCCCAAGTCAGCCAGCCAGCCCAAGCCAGCCAGCCAGCCCAAGCCAGCCAGCCAGCCCAAGCCAGCCAGCCAGCCCAAGCCAGCCAGCCAGCCCAAGCCAGCCAGCCAGCCCAAGCCAGCCAGCCAGCCAGCCAGCCAGCCCAAGCCAGCCAGCCAGCCCAAGCCAGCCAGCCAGCCAGCCAGCCCAAGCAAGCCAGCCAGCCCAAGCAAGCCAGCCAGCCAGCCAGCCTGCCCAAGCCAGCCCAGCCAGCCAGCCCAAGCCAGCCAGCCAGCCCAAGCCAGCCAGCCAGCCCAAGCCAGCCAGACAGCCCAAGCCAGCCAGCCAGCCCAAGCCAGCCAGCCAGCCCAAGCCAGCCAACCAGCCCAAGCCAGCCAGCCAGCCCAAGCCAGCCAGCCTAAGCCAGCCAGCCCAAGCAAGCCAGCCAGCCCAGGTCAGGCCAGCCAGCTCAGGTCAGGCCAGCCAGCCCAGGTCAGGCCAGCCAGCCCAGGCCAGCCCAGGCCAGGCCAGGCCAGGCCAGCCCAGCCCAGCCCAGCCCAGCCCAGCCCAGCCCAGCCCACATTACACATGTTCCAGAACTGTTTCTCTTAGGGCAAAGGTTATACGACATTCTGGCAGGATGACACTACCAGTAGTATAAAAAATGAAAGGATGTTGCACAAATGTTGGGCATGGGTTATTATCAAGGTTTTTGATATTTCCTAGACCACTTGTGGCCACATCCATCACCGGGCCACTAAACTTGGAGTCAACATCACTTTCCTCTTAAAAGGGGAGTGTTAATCCGAGATAAGAACATAAGAAAAGAGGAACACTGCAGCAGGCCTGTTGGCCCATACTAGGCAGGTCCTTTACAATTCATCCCACTAACAAAACATTTGCCCAACCCAATTTTCAATGCTACCCAAGAAATAAGCTCTGATGTGCAAGTCCCACTCAAATCCAACCCCTCTCACTCATGTACTTATCCAACCTAAACTTGAAGCTACCCAAAGTCTTAGCCTCAATAGCCCAACTAGGTAGACTGTTCCACTCATCAACCACCCTATTTCCAAACCAATACTTTCCTATGTCCTTTCTAAATCTAAACTTATCCAATTTAAATCCATCACTGCGGGTTCTCTCTTGGAGAGATATCCTTAAGACCTTATTAATATCCCCTTACTGACCAAGCATCTCAGGCCAATTGTACCAAATGTGGAGGCAGGAAAAATAAAATATTGATCTATCAAAATATTGATCTATGTTTGGAGCGCTACCGGTACTAACGTATATCTACATTTGGACAGTTTAAGGGTTAAGGGTTTTTCATGGGTATACCATAATTCTATAGCAAGAGTGAACAGTTCATGTGGGGACCCAGACTTCATAATGAAGGTGATTCGAGAACACCGACAGTAGTTGATGCTCCTCTGGTGATTGAATCATGATTTTGAAGGTTGGATACACAATATAAAATTCAATCAGGACATCAAGGTGAAGTTGGAAAATTAGATTAGTTAAATGATTATGCTTTTAATCCATGATTATGGGTACATTATCATTAGACTTTGTGTCAAGAAATTAATTAATTTCTGCAGAAATGCTTTATTATAAAAATAAAGGGCACTAAACTTTTGAGTTAAGATTTACTGTCTAATTGGTATGTAGATTATAAAATTTTAATATAAATTTCAGGGATCCAGAACAGTGGAAACCTTTGATCAATGATAGAGCTCTTTTGCCATGGCTTGTGCGTGTGCCTTCTGAAGCTGAGCAACTCCGTGCACGTCAGATAACTGCCCAGCAAATTAATAAGTTGGAAGAACTCTGGAAGGAGAATGCTTCAGCAACATTTGATGACCTAGAGCGTCCAGGTGTGGACGAGGAGCCTCAGCAGGTTTGCTTAAGGTAAAGGGGTTGTACAGTATTTGTTTGATGTGAGGAAAATACTTGCTTGTAGTGAGGAATGTGAAGTCCATCCATTCCTTTCTTTCCAGCCTGATCTCTAGTAATGTTATAAGTCTCATAGGAGGTTAGTTAATTATGACCGTTTATTTCTAAATCCACTTGTCCTCGGTTCAGGGCTTACTGCCTTTTTCCTTTTTTGAATATCTATTATATTTCCTGCCCTCCAGCTATCTGACACTTTCTTGATTGTAATTTTTTCTTATGTGCCTAATTCAAAATATTTTTCTGCTTCCTTCCTAATTTAAGATAAGTAATTTCTGGCTCTTCTAGCTGCCCTGTTGTGACTTTGTACTTTTTTTTTTTCCTCTGCATGAGTGGTTGAATCATGGATACCCCAGTGTTTTTGTCTGTTACCCTGCTTGTTGGTAAATTTTTGTTGTTGTCTGCAGCCCTTCTAGTTGAAAGTTCTCACTATGTATCAGGCTGTCTATTAACTGAAGTTAGTGTCCCATGGAACTCTTTGTTAACAGAACTTCTCATTCCTTCATAACTACCTCTAGTATAGAGCACATCATACACACAAATAACCCGCACATAGGAAAGAGGGGCTTACGACAACATTTTGGTCTGACTTGGACAATTTACAAAGTCGCATCATTCCTAATTTCTCAGCAAAGTGATCTGTTGCACTCAGGGCATTCTATTTTTAAGTATTTCTCGCCCCATCTCGATGGAGGTGAAAGTAAGCTTTGGCCTTACCAATCAATTTTGGCAGTTCTTAAGCATGGATCCTTAGGGTATAGTGTGGGTAGGGATGGGGGGGGGAGCAAAGAATTGAACACTTGTTTTGGAGTTAAAGATATACCTTGGCAAGATAATTGGAGATGAAGATTGGGAGTAGTGAGGACAACTGCTATGGGTAATTGTTATTGAGGTAGTATGAGAGCAGAAGCATCAGTTTCTCTGGAAAAAAAAATGCTGTTTCCTGTTGTTCAGATGAGTGTAATGTGTTTGAATAATTTCCTTTATTCAAAATTTTTATCTTGTCAGAAGGAATGGCTAATTGCTTCAATTATATTGACAGATATGAGGATGGCTTCCAATACCAGAACATTTTTGGACCTTTGGTAAAGTTAGAGGCTGACTACGATAAAAAATTAAAAGAATCCCAGACCCAGGACAAGATTGAAGTGAGGTGGGATATTGGGCTAAATAAGAAGATTTGTGCCTATTTCACTCTTGCCAAAACTGATGGAGGTAAACTCTCTAAATTTTTTATGAGTAGAATAGGGAGCAGAATTAAAAAGGCAAGAAGTGGGCTTATTTCATTATTGCCAAATTTCATGACAGTAAATTCTTCATTTTTATAAGTAAAATAGGGAGCAGAATTATAAAGATAAGGGCTTAAAATATAGTCCTGTCAAATAACTCTTCAGAGTTCATACTACTATTTGAGTAAATTTCTGATTTTTTCCAACTTATAGCTTATAGAGTTACTGACAGCTATTTTTAGTAAGTAATGTATCTTAGCTATAGTAACCTAATGATATAATACTTGTAGTCCTCCTTTTTTATATTATATTATTTTTATCTTCTTGTAGATTCCTACCCAAACCATTATAGTAGTAAATAAAATTATGATATTGGTAATATTTAAATAATAAATGTTTCTTTTCAGATATGCGGCTGATGCATGGTGATGAGTTACGCCTTAGGTACTTGGGTGACCTTCACAAACCCTGGTCTGGGGTTGGACATGTCATCAAGATCCCTGACAATTTTGGGGAAGAAGTGGGGATTGAGTTGAAGTCCAATGTGGGTGTTCCCACAGATTGTCGAGATAAATTTGTAGTGGACTTTGTATGGAAATCAACAAGCTTTGATAGGTTAGTTTTTCATAGCATTTATTAATTATTTATAGAAAATACATATTTATTGGTTTTGGGAATCATTGTCCCTATGTCCCTATCTGATTAGGCCTCTAAATTGCTTGCCTGATGAATACTGTTAGTGCTCACTGCACACTGATATAAGCACCTCAGCCTGTACTGATCAGTAGCTTAACAAGCTTCCTTTCTTAAGACAGTTAACAATGTACACAGTGGTAATTCCTATGGTTGGATATTGAGTAGTTTTTGGACCGTTTTAGCTTTTATTGAGTTATATCTCGAGGAACTTATTCATTGAAAATATTTTAGAGATTGGATCAAAACAGAATGACATGGAGAGCATATAAATCTGTAGGGGAAGGAAGACTGGGTAGGGGTCATCCTCGAAAAGGTTGGAGAGAGGGGGTAAAGGAGGTTTTGTGGGCGAGGGGCTTGGACTTCCAGTAAGCGTGCGTGAGCGTGTTAGATAGGAATGAATGACGACGAATGGTTTTTGGGACCTGACAAGCTGTTGGAGTGTGAGCAGGGTAATATTTAGTGAAGGGATTCAGGGAAACAGGTGATTTTAATATATAGCAGGATTTGAGTACTGGAAATGGGAAGTACAATGCTTGCACTTTAAAGGAGGGGTTTGGGATATTGGCAGTTTGAAGGGATATGTTATATTCTTTTTATAGCTTTTAAACTGTTTATCGGGGCCTCGCAAAAACATGACTAGTAGGTTGGGTGAAGTATTGAATGATGAAAGTATTTTCTTTTTAGGGATTTTCTTTCTCTTTTGGGTCACCTTGCCTTGGTGGGAGACAGCCGACTTGTTGAAAAATAAATAAAAAATAATGCCTCCTTTTTTTTTTTTTTTTCAACAAGTGGGGTCCCCAAAGAGGTAGGGGACCCGAAAAAGAAAAAATCCCCAAAAAAAAAATACTTAAACATCATTTTAACACTTTCACCTCACTCACACATATCAAATGTTTTTCAAGGGGGCTAGAATACAACGTTTAGAAGCATAAGCTAAAATACCAAAAATATCCCCCAAAGCCAAAATCCCAAATCCCTCCCCTTTTAAAATGCAGGGATTGATTTCGCTTTCCGGGCTCAAAATTTGGGTATATAAGAAAAACCGGGTTCTCTGAACCCTTCACTAAATATTTCCCCTTTTACACTCCCAAAAACTGTCCGACCCAAATCCCTTATTCCATTTGCTCCCTTCTAACATTCCCGCCGTTGCTGGGGCCCCAAACCCCCCACCCATAAAAAACCCCTTTTCCCCCCCCCCCAACCTTTTCGAGGACGACCCTTCCTGCCCTTCCTTTCCTACGGGTTTTTACCTCTCCATGCATTCTACTTTTATCCTTTCTCTGAATGACCAAACCTCCCCAACAACCCCCCTTCACCTTCTGACTAATATTTATTAATCCACACCTTCTCCGAATTTCCACACTCCCCAATTTTCTGCTATTTTTTCACATAAACATTTTCCCCTTTAAAAAGGACATCTCCACTGCCCCCAAAAAGCCTCCCCGGCGAAATTTCAACCCAAGCTGACACCCCTATAAGGTGTTGGTCCGCTATACTTTCTAATTCCCCTTTTTTGTCTCCAAGATACGTTTTTTTGTCTACATATACCTCAACGCACCACTTGTCTTTTTCCCTTCATCAGTTCTATGATTAACCTCATCCTTCATAAATCCATCCGCTGACATGTCAACTCCCAAATATCTGAAAACATTCACTTCTTCCATACTCCTCCTCCCCAATTTGATATCCAGTTTTTCTTTATCTAAATCATTTGATACCCTCATCACCTTACTCTTTTTCTATGTTCACTTTCAACTTTCTACCTTAACACACACTCCCAAACTCGTCCACTAATCTTTGCAATTTTTCTTTAGAATCTCCCATAAGCACAGTATCATCAGCAAAAAGTAACTGTGTCAATTCCCATTTTGTATTTGATTCCTCATAATTTAATCCCACCCCTCTCCCGAACAACCTAGCATTTACTTCTCTTACAACCCCATCTATAAATATATTAAACAACCATGGTGACATTACACATCCCTGTCTAAGACCTACCTTTACCGAGTAGTAGTCTCTTTCTCTTCTACACACCCTAACCTGAGCCTCACTATCCTCATAAAAACTCTTTACAGCATTTAGTAACTTACCACCTATTCCATATACTTTTAACATTGCTCCCCTATCCGCTCTATCGTATGCCTTTTTTTAAATCCATAAATGCAATAAAAACTTCCCTACCTTTATCTAAATACTGTTCACATATATGCTTCAATGTAAACACTTGATCCACACATCCCCTACCCATTCTAAAACCACCTTGCTCATCCACAATCCTACATTCTGTCTTACCTCTTCTTTCTTTCAATAACCCTACCGTACACTTTATCTGGTATACTCAGTAAACTTTTTTTTTTTTTTCTTCAACAAACTGGCCATATCCTACCAAGGCAGAGTGGCCCAAAAAGAAAAACAAAAGTTTCTCTTTTTAAATTTAGTAATACTCAGTAAACTTATTCCTCTATAATTTTTACAATCTCTTTTGTCTCTCTTCTTTTTATATAAAGGGACTATACATGCTTTCTGCCACTCCCTAGGTACCTTCCCCTCTTTCATACATTTATTAAACAAATATACCAACCACTCTGATACTATATTTCCCCCTGCTTTTAACATTTCTGTCATGATCCCGTCAGTTCCAGCTGCTTTACCCCCTTTCATTCTATGTAATGCCTCACGCACCTCCCCCACACTCACATCCTGCTCTTCTTCACTCTTTTTTTTTTTTTTTTTTTTCAACAAGTCGGCCGTCTCCCACCGAGGCAGGGTGACCCAAAAAAGAAAGAAAATCCCCAAAAAGAAAATACTTTCATCATCATTCAACACTTTCACCACACTCGCACATTATCACTGTTTTTGCAGAGGTGCTCAGAATACAACAGTCTAGAAGCATACACATATAAAGATACACAACATATCCCTCCAAACTGCCAATATCCCAATATACCTCCCTGGCCAGTGCATGAAATTACCGCCTCCCTTTCTTTATCGACATTTAAAAGTTCCTCAAAATATTCTTGCCATCTACCCAATACCTCCATCTCCCCATCTACTAACTCCCTACTCTGTTTTTAACTGACAACCCTTTATTTTCCCAGGCTTTTTTAACTTGTGTAACTCGCTCCAAAAATTTTGCACCACCACCTTTCTGCCAATAGTTGCTTATATCTCATCTGAACTTCCTCCTCTTCCTTCGTCTTTTGTCTGTCTCATAAATATGCAAGATTACAGGTATGTCTTGCTACTTCTACTTACGCTTTGGTCACAATACACATACATGTACATGTTTATTTATACACACTCATCTGAGTTTTCTTTGATTTTATCTTAATAGTTCTTGTTCTTATTACTTTTCCTTTTATATCCATGGGGAAGTGGAATAAGAATCTTTCCTCCGTAAGCCATGTGTGTTGTAAAAGTCAACTAAAATGCCAGGAACAATGGGCTAGTAACCCCTTTTCCTCTAATAATTACTGAAAAGAATGAGAAGAAAATTATCAAAAGTGCCTCTTCTTGTAAGGAGAAATTTCAGCACTTGCTTATTTGTAATGACCTATTTTTAGCTACAGGAAAACAGCTATGGTCATGGTGTCCCATTTTATTAATATGTAATAAGTTTTAAATTTGCAGTGGTTGTAACACTTGCTACCTCCTTTTGAATTTATTCCATTCTTCTTCCACTATTTTGTGTGTGGGTGTGGATGTAGGTGGGTGTGTGGCTGAGCACATATGTGGCTAGTAGTAGTAATTACTAGATGTCAAAGGTACTTGTCGATAAGAGACCTGGCCTGTGTGTTTTTTTCTTTTGTGTGTGCGTATTTGTGTGGGTGGGTGGGTGAGTGTGCATGCACGTGCAGGTTTGGACCCAAGCATATTCCAAGTGCAATATTCTTCTTTCAACGCACCTGCTGTATCCCACTGAGGTGGGGTGGCCCAAAAAGAAAAACGATAGTTTCGCCTTTTAAATTTAGTAATAAATACAGGAGTAGGGGTTACTAGCCCCTTGCTCCCGGCATTTTAGTCGCCTCTTACAACATGCATGCCTTACGGAGGAAGAATTCTGTTCCACTTCCCCATGGAGATAAGAGGAAATAGACAAGAACAAGAACTAGAAAGAAAATAGAAGAAAACCTAGAGGGGTATGTATACATATATATATATATGCTTGTACATGTATGTGTAGTGTGACCTAAGTGTAAGTAGAAGTAGCAAGACGAACCTGAAATCTTGCATGTTTATGAAACAGAAAAAAAGACACCAGCAATCCTACCATCATGTAAAACAATTACAGGCTTTCGTTTTACACTCACTTGGCAGGACGGTAGTACCTCCCTGGGCGGTTGCTGTCTACCATCCTACTACCTATGATGTGCCATATATAGTGTAATACACCTACCATCCGACTTATGACCTGCTCGACATACGACCATTCGACTTACGACCTTGTTTTCTATGCCAAATTTCTGGGAAATAAACAACTGTTTGTGTTGTACACAGCATTTATCCTAAACCTTACAGTATAAAGTACAGTACTAACAGCATAAAATGTGAAGTAAAAAATGAAATACCAAAATAAAACAATAAAATGAAGTCATTACAAAAATGTGATGTTGATATTTAGTAGTAAGGTTCGACTTACGACCATTTCGACTTACGACCGGTTTCTCGGAACAGAACTCGGTCGTAAGTCGGATGGTACCTGTATATAGTAGAATAGTCTGACATGCTGAATTGTCTGTGCACTAGTACCTTAATGTAATTTTGCCTTTACAAAAGTTTTTCATACCCTTATTTTTGCTTTAACCATGTATTGTTAAACAAATAACCTACACATTGGAGAAAAGCCTTATGATAGCGTTTCAGTCCGACTTGGACCATTATTTGTGTATTGTTCCAGTCACAATATTGTGCCTTTTTATTCTCCATACATTATGTTATGTCACTGTTTAAAATATTAATGTACTGCTTTTGTTCCAACAATTAAGGTCGTTTTACAGTATAGTCAGAAACAAATGTTATTTAAAGAAATTTTACAATTCTGGATATTACTTCAAAGAAAAGCTTAAATTAATTAAAGATTTGATATAGGATGTATAATTGTTCAAAGTTAACATTATCGTAATCAGGATGCAAGCAGCTTTAAGAAAATTTGCTGTAGATGACTCGTCTGTGTCTCCATATATCTACCACCGACTGTTGGGTCATGTAGAGGTGGATGAGCTTATATTCCGTCATATTCATCTCCCAAAACAGCTGTCGGCTCCAAACTTGCCCACCTTGAACAATTCTCAGGTACTTGATTTAATCTTTACAAGATTGTTCCTTGCCAAAGATTGTAACATTTTAAAGACTGAAACTACATTCAGTGGAGGGTTATGTGAATCACCAGTAACACACTGTCTATATAACCTCTAACACCAGCAATAGACTCTGTTCACTCTTATTCCTAGTTTGGCTGTTTTCATTTATCCATACTCATGTGGACCTGCAGATTGACTACAGATCCTAAGCACCAATCAGTATAGCTGGGCTAGAAATAGCAGACAAGGAAGGTGGTGGACACTGCTTCATGGAGCTGTTCACAAAAAAGTAGTATTGGTCTATGAACCACTAATAGGGATTTGAATAGACATATGCAAAAGTGTGTAGTGAAAAATAGCTGAAGATCTTAATTAGGATACTTATAAGTGCAGAGCACTGAGACTGGAAACTTAACCTGTGACTTAGGTGCATTACAAAACTGATTTACTGTACACACACACATCAGTGTACAGCACATGCAAGCAGAGGATCTTTCATATAGGCCTTGGGTAAAGCCTTGCATTATGGGTTAGGGGATGTCACTTAAGCTTTTTTCTCTTGCTAGTTATTATAATATATCAAGCATCTTTTGTAATAGAGCGCATATAGTAATAAAACTCAAACTTACCTATCGAGAATTACGAATGTCAAAATGTTATAGAGGTTGTATGGACCTGTTGCTCTTCTTTTTGTGTCTCATGGATCCTGAACACAGGAATATTCTATTGAGGTCTACAGATTTTAAATTTATTTACTTATATTTCTTTTTTTCCATTACCTATAGGGAATGTATTTACTGTTTTAAGTACATATATGTAATTTCACCCTGCCTCGGTGGGAGACGGCCGACTTGTTGAAAAAAAAAAAATGTAATTTCAAAATAACTTTTTATTATGAGTAATGCATAAAGTGAAACCTTGATTTAATGTACTAATGGGTTGTGGGGGCATGTCTGTTAATGCCGATTGTTGGTTAAATCTGAATGATTTCAGATATAATGGACTTTGTCCAGTATATCTGAAATCAATTTACCCATTAATGGATAGTTTCATTATTTCTGGAAGTTGTCTCGCCACAGATTTTGTCCATTTGCTCTGAAATCCATTAAATTGAAGTTGTAATGTATATTTTTGTTTGTAATAATTTACTATGAAATGTATCTGCATGCCTATAGTGAGTGCAAATTATGACAAGTTTGTAATTTTCAGCAATATGCCTTGAAGCATGCCTTGCAACGACCTTTGTCATTAATCCAAGGCCCACCAGGCACTGGCAAGACAGTGACTTCAGCCACCATTGTGTACCAATTGGTAAAGCAGACTGGTGGCTCCGTCCTGGTGTGTGCACCTTCCAACACAGCTGTTGACCAGCTCACAGAGAAAATTCATAAGACTGGACTTAAGGCAAGTGATTTTATGTCTTAAGATCTACCTAATGTATGTGTGACATCTAATTTTAATAATCTATGGATTAAGATTCAAGGCAGTGTGATTGTGGACTAGTTTATAGTCAGATGGTTATCTTACTGGCTGATTAAAGTTGGTTATAATTTCTCATATTGCTTTCTTTCATTGATGTTGATGAAAGGCTCTTAACCCAAGGAATTAAACATGATCTCTTTTCCTTGGATCAAGCCTGATTATCTCCCATCCCTCAGGCACTGTATGACCCCCAATGGGTTTAGCACTTACTCCTGAATGTAATAATAATAATAATAATAATAATAATAATAATAATAAATAATAATAATAGATAGAGGAGAAATGTGGCAGATGTTGCATGTATATGGAATAGGTGGTAAGATACTAAATGCTGTAAAGAGTTTTTATGAGGATAGTGAGGCTCAGGTTAGGGTGTGTAGAAGAGAGGGAGACTACTTCCCGGTAAAAGTAGGTCTTAGACAGGGATGTGTGATGTCACCATGGTTGTTTAATATATTTATAGATGGGGTTGTAAAGGAAGTAAATGCTAGGGTGTTTGGGAGAGGGGTGGGATTAAATTTTGGGGAATCAAATTCAAAAAGGGAATTGACACAGTTAAATTTTTGCTGATGATACTGTGCTTATGGGAGATTCTAAAAAAAATTGCAAAGGTTAGTGGATGAGTTTGGGGAAAGTGTGTAAAGGTAGAAAGTTGAAAGTGAACATAGAAAAGAGTAAGGTGATGAGGGTGTCAAATGATTTAGATAAAGAAAAAAATTTGGGTACCAAATTGGGGGAGGAGGAGTATGGAAGAATGAATGTTTTCAGATAGTTGGGAGTTGACGTGTCGGCGATGGATTTATGAAGGATGAGGTTAATCATAGAATTGATGAGGGGAAAAAGGTGAGTGGTGCGTTTGAGGTATATGTGGGGTCAAAAAAACGTTATCTATGGAGGCAAAGAAGGGAATGTATGAAAGTATAGTAGTACCAACACTCTTATATGGGGGTGAAGCTTGGGTGGTAAATGCAGCAGCGAGGAGACGGTTGGGGCAGTGGAGATGTCCTGTTTAAGGGGAATGTGTGGTGTAAATATATGCAGAAAATTCGAGTGTGGAAATTAGGAAAAGGTGGGATTAATAAAAGTATAGTCAGAGGGGAGAAGAGGGGTTGTTGAGGTGGTTTGGTCATTTGGGGAAATGGATCAAAGTAGAATGACATGGAAAGCATATAAATCTATAGGGAAGGAAGGCGGGGTAGGGGTCGTCCTCGAAAGGGTTAGAGAGGGGGGGTAAAGGAGGTTTGTGGGCAAGGGGCTTGGACTTCCAGCAAGCGTGCGTGAGCGAGTTAGATAGGAGTGAATGGGAGACAATGGTACTTGGGACCTGACGATCTGTTGGGGTGTGAGCAAGTAATATGTTAGTGACGGGATTCAGGGAAACCGGTTATTTTCATAAAGTCGGACTTGAGTCCTGGAAATGGGAAGTACAATGCCTGCACTTTAAAGGAGGGGTTTGGGATATTGGCAGTTTGGAGGGATATGTTGTGTATCTTTATATGTGTATGCTTCTAAACTGTTGTATTCTGAGCACCTCTGCAAAAACAGTGATAATGTGCGTGTGTGGTGAAAGTGTTGAATGATGATGAAAGTATTTTCTTTTTTGGGATTTTCTTTCTTTTTTGGGTCACCCTGCCTCGGTGGGAGACGGCCGACTTGTTGAAAAAAAAAATAATAATAATAATACCCACTTAAGCACTGTACATACTTTCTTTAGGTGGTGTACATTAAAAAACTTCTAACACAAATAATGGATTTCTGAAAATACAATAAAGGCCTGATAAAATGGACTGATATAGGGAGGGGGGTCTGATTTTTTTTAAATTCTATTAATTTGAGCATTTCAATTAACCCTTAAACTGTCCAAGCAGATCTACGTTCATGTGTGTAGTGCTCCAAAAGTAGATCTACGTTTTTTTATATATTTTCAAATATATAAAAAAAAAAAGTTTTTCTTACAAGTTTTCAAATGTAAGAAAAAAAAAATTACTTTTTTGCACACTTTCAAATGTTGAAAAAACGTAGATCTACGTTTGGACAGTTTAAGGGTTAAGTGGATGTAATCTGCTTAATTGATCATGGATGATTGCCCAATGAAACGTACTTAGTCCACTGTATTGATGAACTACCAGACATACTGAGAATAAACTAGAGTATGATAGAATATTGTCTGTAAGTGAACCTGAAAAGTGTTGTACTGTGCTCTTGTACTGTACAATACTGTATAGTACAAAAGAGTACAGTACAGTAATTTTTTGTACCTTTTTCTGGTTTTCTGTTTGTTTTGCTTTATCATAGTACTCACACTTAAATGTCAGCCTCTAGTTTCTTTATTCATTCAATGTTAAGTAAAAGGACAGAAATGCAACTAATGTGACATTTTATTGTGGCAACGTTCGCTCTCCAGGAGCTTTATCAAGCCGTTACAAACAATACATGGACACAGAAGCTATATATAGGCTTAGTGTGAGGTGTAATATTAATGGTAGTAGTAGTAGTAATTTAAGTTGTAGAGATAGTAGTAATACATTATGATAGAACAATTAACTTGTACATAAGTAAAAGGTTATAAAAGCTATTACTTGGGTAGCATAAAAATAGGTTAACAAAGTATTTCTGTTTATTCACCTTAGTACCGTATTAATTCAAGTTTATGCTTATTAGTAAAGGTTACATGCTTTAGTGGTCATTGCTAACAACACTGTACACAGTATTTTTAACCCCTTCAGTATTGGTCGTATAATATTATGGCTTTGAAGTCAGTGTTGGTCTCATAATACTACACCAAAATTCAGATCTTGTGGGAAAACCTTGTAGGCCTACTTATGAGAGAATGGGTCTATGTGGTCAGTTTTTTTTTTTATTATTATTATTATCACACTGGCCGATTCCCACCAAGGCAGGGTGGCCCGAAAAAGAAAAATTTTCACCATCATTCACTCCATCACTGTCTTGCCAGAAGGGTGCTTTACACTACAGTTTTTAAACTGCAACATTAACACCCCTCCTTCAGAGTGCAGGCACTGTACTTCCCATCTCCAGGACTCAAGTCCGGCCTGCTGGTTTCCCTGAACCCCTTCATAAATGTTACTTTGCTCACACTCCAACAGCACGTCAAGTATTAAAACCATTTGTCTCCATTCACTCCTATCAAACATGCTCACGCATGCCTGCTGGAAGTCCAAGCCCCTCGCACACAAAACCTCCTCTACCCCCTCCCTCCAACCTTTCCTAGGCCGACCCCTACCCCGCCTTCCTTCCACTACAGACTGATACACTCTTGAAGTCATTCTGTTTCGCTCCATTCTCTCTACATGTCCGAACCACCTCAACAACCCTTCCTCAACCCTCTGGACAACAGTTTTGGTAATCCTGCACCTCCTCCTAACTTCCAAACTACGAATTCTCTGCATTATATTCACACCACACATTGCCCTCAGACATGACATCTCCACTGCCTCCAGCCTTCTCCTTGCCGCAACATTCATCACCCATGCTTCACACCCATATAAGAGCGTTGGTAAAACTATACTCTCATACATTCCCCTCTTTGCCTCCAAGGACAAAGTTCTTTGTCTCCACAGGCTCCTAAGTGCACCACTCACCCTTTTCCCCTCATCAATTCTATGATTCACCTCATCTTTCATAGACCCATCCGCTGACACGTCCACTCCCAAATATCTGAATACATTCACCTCCTCCATACTCTGGTTAGTGTGTGCGGTATAAAGAAGATCCTGCAGTATGCAGTGCATAAGATAAAAAACTGCAACTGCATTTTTGGTTTAACCCTTTGACTGTTTAAGTCGTATATATATGTCCTACGAGGTACCGTGTTTGACGTATATACAGTGGAACCTCAAATTTCGAACTTAATCCGTTCCAGGAGCTAGTTCTAAATTCGAAAAGTTTGAAATTCGAAGCAATATTTCCCATAAGAAATAATAGAAATACAATTAATCCGTTTCAGAAACCCAAAAATATTCACAAAAAAAAATACATTTTATAGAGATTAATTACAGTTTTACATACACACAACAAATGCTATAGTCTTTAATTATGTATAGTAATATAAAATAACATTTTTACTTATCTTTATTGAAGATTGGTGATGGCATCTGGAAGATAGGGAGGAGGAGAGAGGGAGTTGGGGTTATTGTTTGGAAGGAGAATCCCCCTCCATGAGGACTCCGGTATCAAAGCCCTCTCTGGGGTTGCTTCCCTTCTCTGTATTTTAATGCCACTAGGACCAGCTTGAGAGTCATTGGACCCCAGTCCCACAAAATAACTGTCCACAATGATCTGTCTCACAAAATAACTCCACAGTTGTCTGTTTCTGTCTCGCAAAATAACTCCACAGTCGTCTGTTTGTCTCACAAAATAACTGTCCACAATCGTCTGTCTCACAAAATAACTCCACAGTCGTCTGTTTCTGTCTCACAAAATAACTGTCCACAGTCGTCTGTTTCTGTCTCACAAAATAACTGTCCACAGTCCTCTGTACATCCTGGCAAGCTCAACAAGTCTCACTCCAATCTCATACTTCTGTATTATTTCCTTCTTCACATCTTTGGTGTTTCTCACTTTCTTTACCACAGGGGTACCGCTAACAAGCTTCTTTGGGCCCATGGCAGCTTATTTCACAGCCCCACAAGCACTAAACACAATTAAATAATCGTAAAATGTGTGAATGAGATCGCAGGTTAGTGTTCACTCAAGCATAAACAAAGCTAGACTGCTCATGGCGCCTGTGCGGGGACACGGACAGAGCGGGCCAGCGGACAGGTCCCGTACCCGGCGGTTCGAAAATAGGGGTGCGTTCGATAATAGGGACACAGTTTGTCCGAAAAAATGGTCTTATTTTCGAAACGTTCGATATGTGATACGTTCGATTTTTGAGGTTCCACTGTATACTCATAAATTCT